CAGCCTCCCGACATCAAAAAAGGAGTATCACTGAGGGCTGAGGCACTTATTTGCAACTATTTGTTGATGCATACATGCGTGCATGCAGACATACATATCCTTGAAGGTTGAGCTTACGTCTTATCCCCACATGGGCAAATGCTATCCAAAGCTCATCGTTTGATTTTGCCCAGCGGGATACTGCAGGTTGCACTCATAGACAGCTTATGCCCGTCGGGACCATCCCCTGTGAACCCCGTAAACCCTAAACTGCTAAACCCGAAACTTCTGCACAGGGGAGCCTTGTGACATCGAAATTTCCGTGTCACTGGTCTCAGGCGCGATGAGTTGAGGGATTCCAGGTTTCGGGTTTAAAGTTTAGGGTTTGGGAAGGCCACATGCATGTCATCAGGAGCTCGCAAGAGCGCATGGTGACCAAAGAGAGATGAAAGATGGTAAAGCACGATCACAATCAAGACGGCGTCAGAAGCTGGACTTAGATACTATAGGGGACTGATTAATTACCAATCTTATTTTGGGGCTCCTCATTCTAGTTATAGTGTAATATATACCCCAAAACCCTATTCTAATTATTAAGCCCCTCAAGCAGCTGTTCATCACATGCAGCCTCTGTGACTAAGAGGATATCGCGTTGCCGTGGCCCCGTGCATGAATGGTACTCGTTCAGGCATGATGAACGCAATGAAGTGTATAGGTTCTAAGGGTTGGGACCTTATAGGTCTCGTAAACAGGTCACGGGTTTGTGTTTACGGAGCAGGCTTGTTGTTTTGGACTCAGTCATTCTATGAATGCTTGGATTTCTTCCCTGCAGCTCTGCTCCGGTGACCTGCATCGGGGGCAGATCATGTTCACTTCTTCTCTTCGGATGCCGAGGGCCACGTAGCAGGAGCCTGATGGTTTCATGCAGCCACGATTACGATTCGGCGTGACGGCTCCAAACGATCCGACATCGGTTCTTACCTGCTGAGAGCCACAAGTTCGATCCTTGCGTCCTTGAGGGTGCTAGACTCGTCTAGGACTCTTTCGACTTTGGACTCCAACTACCGTGTCTTGTAAATCGACTTCTCCAGATTTGAGCGACCAAACAGCCGGCTGCCAGGCAAGTCGCTGGTCTTGTCTCGGCCCAGCACGGAGCAGGTGCCTGCTGTCGGCTGTGCGCAAGGAAGATTAGCTTACCTATGTTACAAGCAGCATCAGATACAGCTGAATCATCGCGTGCCATCCGTGCCCACTTGGAGGTTCATGGGTAGTTAGAATGGGGTTATAAGTAGGGTAACTGTAGTTATAACCCATATCAGGGGACTTATAACCCCACCTATAACTACCCATGAACCTCCAAGTAGAGGCCATGCTCCAGCCCTGAAGCGAATCAAATAGCAGTCAGACCCGGCTCTAATGATTAGGGACGGCCACTCCCTAGCCGAACTAGACCCTATAAACCCTAAATCCTAAACCCGAAACCCCAAATCCTAAACCCTAAACCCTACACCCTAAACCCTAAGCCCTAAGCCCTAAGCCCTAAACCCGAAACCCCAAATCCTAAACCCCAAAATCCTAAACCCTATAACCCTAAGCCCTTAAACCCCAAACCCCAAATCCTAAGCCCGAAACCCGAAACCCCAAATCCTAAACCCTGGGGCCGCAGCGTGGCGCGCACGAGTATCAGGTCGGCCAGCTGAAGCAAGTGGCGGCTGAACGACTTGGCTGCTTGGGTTTGTTGAACCTTTGTAGGGTTTAGGGTTTACGGGTAACCCTTATAGGGTTTAGAGGGGTTTTAGGGGTTTTAAGGTTTTAGGGTTTTAGGGTTTAGGGGTAACCCTTATAGGGCTTAGGGTTTAGGGGTAACCCTTATAGGGTTTAGGGATTTTAGGGTTTTAGGGTTATGGGGGTTTTAGGGTTTAGGGTTCGAGGTTTTGGATTTTGGGTTTAGGGGTATAGGGTTTAGGTAAACCCTAAACCCCTAAACCCTAAACCGGAGGGGTGGTTCGGGCTTCGTCGGCTTCTGTTGGATGATATCGCACTGGCGGCAGTTTTGGAGTCTTGATTGATGACAGGCAACTGCAGTGCTCCCGGTTTCAAGAGCTAAGACCACTACGCAAAGAAGCCTGGGTGGTGACTGCAAGGGCAAGCTGTAAACTGCAGGAATACTGGGTTCGTCAGGGTACTCAGGAGGTCATTGTTCAATCGTTACCCCACCGCAGCTCGGCGCTGTCTTTCCCTAAGTGGCTCGTGAAGCAATCAGTGCCACCCCCCGGCAGGATGTATTCACGTGCGCAGGCGATCAATAAACCTGAAACCCTCTGGTTTGCATATAGGCTTAGGGTTTAAAGCGTCGGAACCAGTAAGAAGCTGAAGAAACCTTTCTCGACGTTGTGGCTTTTGGGGCTCTTGAAGTCTATAACTACCGATGAGTCTTCAAGCGGGTGGTACCCCTGGATTCAACATGAACTAGCTCCCAAGCTTTCCATCCTCATGACTCGATAAGACGCTTGGGTTCATGGGCAAGTATGAAAGAAGCTTTTGCGGCGACCGTTTTTTGCAGTTTCATGCTGTGGGTCCATGCAGGCCTTCTGGGCGCGGTGGACGATCCTGCTCGAGGTGTAGGTGTAGGATGGTTCAGAACTCCCCCCAAGTTCCCTTGCAAAGCATCCGTCAGTTTAGCGACCGAGTCTTTGAAGCAAGAAAGGCCAAACAGACCCGTCTTTTCCTGGCTGAGCGACCGAACCCATCTGTCTCCCACACCAGATGTCAACCCAGCTGCGATGTTTCACTGAGGCTTGTCCGGGGAAGAGGTCGTATTCATCCAAGATGCCGGCCGACTTGATTTGATTTCTAGTATCAGGGTCCGGCTTCTTTACAAGCTACTTAAGCTATGTTGACGGTTACAGTGTTTCGAACGAGTCTAGCTATGATTCTTGCTCTACCTGGTCAAGAGCACCGATGTCCCCAGGGCGACACCATCCCTGACAGCGCCACGGTTGCCAGTCTCCATGGCACATCGCTGGACTGCTGATGAGTTCTCGCTTGGTCAGGGTGGTCTTATGCACTGTGCACCAAGTAGTAAGGGTTCGAGCTGCATGTTTGACTTAAAAACTTTATCACGCGAAGGGTCCAGCTGCTTGACTGGATGACTCCGACAAGGATCTGCCCTCCAACCTGGGCAATTCTTAGAAGTAGTTTTGGCTTCAGCACAGTTCGTATATTCTTTCAAGTAAATCATGACAGACCGTAAACCCCAACCAAAATCAACCCCTAAACCCGAACCATCCTCCACCCCAAACCCTCAACCCCTAAACCCGAAAGCCTCGCAGACAAGCCTTAACCCTAAATCCTAAACCCGAAACTGAGAGGATCTGGTGGCCTTATCGCCCGGATCGATTGCTGCAGTGGTGGACAACCGATCCCTGGCATTTACATGTAGCCTCCATGATAGTTCCTTTGTTTTGGTTTTGCCTACTTATGCACTTAGGATTTAGCCTTCCTGCCTCTGTTTTTGGGTTTAGGGCCTAGGGTTTAGGGCTTCCTGTCTCTTAGTCTTAGGGCTCAGGCGTCAGAGGGTCTAGCATTTCGGGCCTGAGGCCTGCAAGTTAGGAGTTCGGCTTCAGGGTTGAGGGTTTAGGGTTTAGGGTTTAGGGTTTAGGGCTTAGGGTTTAGGGTTTAGGGTAGTCAGATG